CTAGTTCTGTGCATAGACTTAGGTTCTTGAAGTCAAATGGAATCAGGACTAATAGTTGGGATACAGTTTCCCCGTTAAGAAAAAATAAACTTTCATTCGAATTTCCATTCATGGGGGTTGGATTTTGCGAGAAGTGTGAAATACCTAGCAAGCGAATTTACCCAAAGATATTTGATATTGAGTTTAAGGCTGAACGGATGGAAATTTAAAGAAAGTTTCATTTGTTATCCGCGTTTTTCCCACCCTTTCGGGTGGAAATTAGGCATAATCACGTCAGCTAATAAATCAAATAGGACAGATAGTAATTATATATAGAGAAACTATACATATTTATTGTGTCAATTTTAAGATTTATTTCAATATATTTTATAAAATAAATTAAATATAAATTTTAAAGTCTTGGTAGAAAATTTCTTCTATAGTAATTCAGACAACTGAACGTGTAATGTGAGAACTGAAATGTGCGGCTAGATAAATAATATATTGAAAAATTTAAAAGCAAAAATGAATGGAAAAGATTATAATTATTAAAGCCAAAAATGAATTTGCAGCTGCTTTGTGAAATGCCATCGCAGTGTAGCTCATTTAAGTGCAGCTTGTGGACTAGCAACAAATAAATGCTTTTACTTCTTTTGTCCGAATGTCTTTTGCTACTGGGAGCACACTTCATCGGATCAAATCAATGCCAACCGCACGCACAATCAGAATGACAGTCTCGGGGCAGACGCGTTGCGACCAAATGGTCCAGTGCTCAACTCGGCGGATGGACAGCCCGCAGCATTCAATCAGAGCGATTCAATGGCAACGCAAAAATGAGAATAACTCAAACAAATCACTACTCAATACCACCCCATCACCTCCCTCCCCACCCTCCCCTCATTTACAGCAGCCCCTTCACCAAAGCTGCCAACTTGTCTATGCCGCCAAACTTTTCCTTAAGCTTTTTTTTTGTTTTTTCATTTCTGAATTTTTGTTTGCAACACTTTTTGCAATGCTATACATAAACATGGTTGCAATTTATGCGCCCGTCCGCCGGTTGTGCAACCGCATTCCCATGCCAAGGAACATCGGCAGACATCTCCGCCGCCACCCCCCCAAAGTCCACCCACCCACGCGCTAAACAACAACTGCTGCCCTAGAAATACGCGGACTGCCAAACTAACTTCAAACTCACAATATAAACACATAAATCCTGGGCACTGATACACACAGATTCCGTTAGACAAGAGTTGGTCGTGCAACGGGAGCGGGAGCGGGAGTGGGAGTGTGGGTCGTAGGTTGGAAAGCGCCAGCAGCAACTTTTGCGTATCGACAACAACCAAAAAAGTTGCCAACAACAACGGCAACAACAACAACAACAGTTGCATTCAAAAAATATTATTGGGGCGTTTTTGTGGGCGTGTTAGCATCGGTTAGCGTGGGCAATGTGGAAAATCTGGCAAATAGGGAAACGCTCGCAACAGCAAAAAACACTGGCACCTTTTCCCAGCTTAGGCGGTGCGGTGGCTGGCTGGCTGGCTCTCAAATGATGAAACGCTTAGTTTTTTATGCATGGAACTTGTCGATGGCAAAAGTTGAATTATTGCGAATACGACCGAGCCAGCGGTTGAGTATGGCTCATGCATTATGAATGCGCCGGGCGCTGACGAGGAGCAGGATGAGCAAGAAAATACAGACAACAAGCAGTTGGACTTATGTGGCTAAGGTCTCGCCGCCAAGGTACGTTGGGCGGTTGTCGGGGGGCGGCGGCAATGCAAGTGGCAGCCACAAGTTGCAGTCACCAGCGTGCCACAAATTTTGGTGCAGACTGCTCTTAAAGTTGCGCGGGGCGAGGGGGCTACGCGGAAACAACTCACTTGTTGATCGAGTTGAACCAGACACAAATTGAAGACGCAAAGCTGCCTAGTTGGGGGCCACCTTAATATTGTGCGCTGGAACATCTAATAGAAATCCTTTCATATGTAAGACACAAGCTTCAATTTAACGCATTTAAGGGAGATAATTCATGTATATATATATTCATGTAGATATAAAACTAAGTATTTTTCCTGACTTATGTATGCATGTATGTATGTATATATGTATATATGTATATATGTATGTACGTATGTATGTATGTATGTATGTATGTATGTATGTATGTATGTATGTATGTATGTATGTATGTGTGCAATATATGTATATATGTATGTATGCGTGTATGTAAAAAACGTACTTTTCAATAATGCCCTCCTACTCGATTCTCATAAATTCAAGTAAGTCTCATAGGCTTGACTTCATATTGGAGGAGACGGCGCCTTCAACATAGGAGGGGACGGCAGCTTCAACAAAGGAGGAGACAGCAGCTTCAACATAGGAGGAGATGGAATCTTTAACAGAGGAGAAGACAGCAGCTTTAACATGCAGAATACGGCTTTACTTTTGCAGGAGGCGGCAGCTGAAACATTCGAAGAGGCAGCGGCTATGGCGGGTCTCATTGCAAAAACTGGTACAAATCGATATGGTATTATATTTAAAATAATAGTAGCAACTATTACAAACGTATGTATTGTATATCTTAGCTAATACATCTTTTTATATTTTTTTTAAAGCTAATAAGCATTATCTCTGCTTTTCTGTTCTTTCAGTAATGTGTTCATCAAATTCGACTCTCACTTACTGTTAGATGACAATGACATCAAATAATCGTGCATGTGGACTTACAGGTGAGTAGATAACTATAAATATATATGGATCTCTATATATAAAACTGTTTGTGCTGACTGATTGACTGAAGCGGAAATTTTTAATGACGCTAAGACGGGGTGATTTGGGAAATTCCACCCGCAAGTGCGGAAAAATTTAAAAAAATACGTCTGTATGACACTTTTCTGTTCACCATCCGATCAATTTCAAAATCATTTGCTAAGATCTTTGGTCAAACGTATTTGAGGGGTGTCTGGACTTTAAACCAATTTATATACAATAATATACGTGCCTTATTACTAATTGTTTTTCCAATTCAAACTAAGACTCGTTTTTTTCGTGATATGAATATTTTGAAAGACTATTTAAAATGGTGGCAAATCGGAATATTTGATGTGATTGGCCATATGTCTAATTCAGCTCTAAGCCTAAGAGTAAATCAGACTGATTTTACGCCTGCTATATCCGTCTGATTGTTGCTATTGCAGTTATGTGAATGTATATATATATATATATATATATGCAATGTTGTGCAGCTTAAGATATCGGGAAAATACATTTTTGGAATAGCAATTCCATATACGGTCATTTCAAGTTTCTAGCTCCTATAGGTTCTGAGATCAACGCGTTCATACATACGGACATGGCTAGATCGACTCGACTATTGATGCTCATCAGGAATACATATCTGCTGCCCGTTACATAGATTTGCACAAAAAATTTTTAATTTTCACTCACTTTCAATTTTACCTTTAAGTAAAATCGAAAAAAAAAATCAGCAGATATTTGCTTGCCAGTGTCAGCTTTTAAAGCCATTGACAAGTCTGTATAGCTTTGCTAACGGTCTGCCAAGAGCAACAACAGCTCTATAAAAATAAAATATGTAGTATACAATATATTTGAATATTTCGCAGTGCATTTCGGTGTTGGTTTGGTATGTTGCATGGCACTAAATCAATGTTGGTATTGTGCAAAATGGTGGCACAGAAATGGGTTGGGGATGGGGATGGGACACTGTGTGAAAAGGCAACACTGGTGGCAGCACCCCGGGGGCACGCCGTCAATTTGGTAACCAAACTGAACATTTCGCAATGCCAACCGAAATGTAATTGACGCACGTTGCTTAGGTACGAGGCCGGGGTTCGGGCTTCTGGCCAGGGTCTCTCACCTCTGTGCGGGGCCCCATGCTATCATCATTTAAATGTTGATTGTCGGTTTGTCAGTCTTGTGGAGGCGACAAGAGCTACATTTTGCGGCATGGCGCACAAAGCAACCCTAAATTAGATTGAGAAAGCGCTGGCTGCGAGTTTCGTCTAACTGCAGCTGCCACTGCAACTGCCACTGCAACTGCTACGTATCGACTGGCGTTGCCAATTGAAATAGATGCTACACAAGTGCTAATTTGATGACGCCATGGGGCTGCTCGCCTCTGACTGCTAGGGAGGGAGGGGGGGCTAAATGAATCCAGTGCAGGTCAACTCAATGCTGTCGCTTAATTAATGGTCACCTTATGGTGTGGCAGCCGCAGGAAACAACCCTCAAAGAGCCAACCAGGGTCACAGGGTAATACAAAATGATAATGCGTATGTATATGAATGTATACATAAACATCTATATTCATATGGACGCACAGCAACAAGCCATATTAAATGGTTCAGCGCCTTTGGCAGGACATTGCACTCGCACTCGCAGTGGGCACTCGGGCTCGGGCAGGGACACAATGGAGTCCTTATATAGAAGGCACATAATTAAAATTTATGAGCACGCTTTTTCAAGAAATTGCCCCTGGTTACCTTTATGCAATAGCCATTGGCACGATTCGAAAGCGTTTCTCAAAAACGAACGCAGGACAATCAAATGAAACACCCCACACCTTGCATAAACAGGAAACGAACAATAGATCTAAGAAGCATTTGGATAAAATGCAATACAAAAGGGTCAATAAATTACGCAAGAGTAAAATGTGAAAAGCAGCCATGCTCAGGTGTTCAGCGACACGAAACGGGTTGTTCGAAGTTGAGATAAATATATAAGAACATATGTATTAATATTGAGCGCTCGTTAGTTTTTGAAGAATTTGTGGAACGCTTTGGCAATGAAATACAAAAAATTAAACGTAAGATGTGCATTATTTGAGGAATGTTGCGCAAATGAAACACAGACAATTTTAAACAAAAAATGTTTGGCAAGGATGGAAACGAAATTAAACTGGTGAACACAAAGTTTAATATTTTCAGAAATGAGCAAAAGCTGTTACACAACACTGCCAAACAATCGGCTTAATCGTGACAGCAACTCGTTACTTTGACAAACATATATATCAATGGATAATGACAGCTACTTTTTGGCAATTCGTATATTTCGGACTTTTGCAGCACTATTCCAAATTATTCGCTTGAGCTTTTGCAATGAATTGGTTGTCATTCCTATGCGTTTATCTGCGCCAAAAATTGCAAACTACGTAGGTGAATGAATGTGCCAATATAATATCAATGATTCTACCAATTCTTCTCATATTTTGTTAGACCCTGCAAACAGCATGGCGAATCGCATTGCATGCGCTGTCAGTGCCAGCGACGCCTGGGCAGAGGACGTGTGTCACAGCATGTAGATGCCTACGAAGAAGCGGGAGTGTATTTGTGTTTTAAAGACGATAATTATTAAAAAGCAGATTCAAAAAGAGCACATATTCATATATTAAAAGTGAGTAGAGTAAGCCATTCACCATAAGGGCGTGTCTTTTTGTTAACTTTTGCTACTCTCAGTTCCTCAGCTGCCCGCTTATGGTATTATTGAAATTACTAAGAAATTATTGATTACAATGCCTGGGCAGTCTGGCAAAGATTTTTGTTTTTTTTTTTTGATTGTGGTTCTTCAAAGCGTTCCACCGTCTGGCAGCCAATTTTTGACATCAGCTTTTGTGTGGCTAAATTTGAAAGTGGCCGCAAATAGAAAACAAAGTCACGGCCAACACAATTGCGCTCTGGTCCCCGGGAAAGTGCTACTAATTAGCCATGTCCAATCACAAGACTCTGCGCGGGCTGAGACCGCAAATGGACTGGGGAGCCGGAGAGTTATTTACAAAAGCCGCTTGATAAAAGTGTCGCTCCAAATGTGCGACAATAAGATGACATTTTGTTGTTGCCTCTTTGCGGGCGGAAGTCAAAGTGTTGTTAAATAAATAATAAACCGTCTATAATAAATGATATTAGGCGTATAGCTGTTTGCTTTTCGTTTTGCCCATTGGGCATTGCATAAGCCTGGCCAGACAGACGCTGGAATGTGGGTGACAGATTGGAAAGGAAAACACGTGCTAAAAGGTTTTGCCAAGCGTGTTTATGAGACCTCTTTCGAATGACGCGTGATCAATTGAGAATAATTTGTTGATACACTTACGTTAATAACATTTAGACATGTATTTGTTGATTTCGAATAGATAATCCTCGATTTTGCAAATCGTCATTATTTTAATTAACTATAGCTCTACCGTTTTCATGGTTAACTCAGATAAAAAATAATCCCAATTTGCAAGAGGTCTTTCTGCAGCCCAACTCCCTCCCTCTCTGTCATTGCCTCTCTGTCTCATTTTTTCTGTCTCTTTCTGTATGCATATATATATATATATATCTCGCTTAAATCAAGTTTTATTTGTTGTATACAAATAACTGACGCATCTTTTTTAAGAACTTTTCAAATTAACTCAAAAAAAACTTTTCCTTTGTGGCCAGCAATTTGGTCGTGCTGCTGAATATTAATAAAAAGCATACCTGCATTCACTTTGCTACAGTTAGGCAGGAATAAATCCAACTTGAAGTGCATTAAGCCGCAGTCAATCAGCAAGGACAATACTTTTGCCCTTTGGCAAACCAATAAAATGTTAAAACTGCCAACCAAAAATACCACGCACAAACGAAATTATTTCCATTTTTTTTCTTCGGTTTTTTTATTTTTTTATTATTCATTTAAAACTTTTATTTTCTTAATATTCATTTTTTTTCATTTTCGTACTGCCAAAATAAACTACCCATGAATTTATGTATTCGAGTGAATATGCAGTGTGGAAATTTGTTGCAAGCTGCTGCAGCAGGGTTGACTCGGCGGGCGGGGCAAGCCCATTTTCACCGTTTCGACTCCAAATGAATGGCCCGCCGGCTCGACGCGGGTGGCTGGGGAAAGAGAGGTAACTGACAAAAAAAAAAAAAGGAAAAAAGAAAATGCAAACAATGAAAATGCTCGCAATGAAATGCATTGAAAATTGAAAATCAATGAACTGTTATAATAACTTGCCGCAGTCAGAAGCAAGCGCCGTGCCGCCGCCACCGTGGCAGAAACCAGCCGCATGCATATCTATCTGCAACTCAATACACGTATACGTATCTACATATGTATTTGCTCGAATGTATGTACATATTTATAGATATGTAGAGAGCCTTAAATGCATATGCCTGTGCAAGCCTGAAGAGAGTCATTCAGCGGAATGCACAGGCAAAGGCTTACCAAAATGCACTGAGAGAAAAAACACCAGTAAAAAGGTACAAGCAGTTATCGGAATGTATAAAAAAATAGGAATCTCGAGGCGGGAATGCTTGACTAAGAGGGCACCCAAAGCCATATACCAAATCGCTAGGCTCCATCTGTAAACATGATAGGTTCCAATATTGTCGAAAAAGGGGGCGGTATCCAAAATGTTAAATATTTCGGATATTTATGTACCACTCGAGCCAACATACTAAATTTGGTATATCTAACTTCTGCAACTTTTGACTTAAGCTTCAGGATATATGTCTCCAAATCGATATTTATTAACATTACAAAAATTAGAAAAAAAAGCGTAAGAAGAAGCGATAAATTCGTTATGAGGAAAGTATATGAGACTATATATGGACTCAGGCAGACGAACAGGCAGACAGACAAATCGACTCATATATATACATACATATATAAGACATTATGGGGTCAGACATGATTATATTATCGAAATATGGATTCATATATCGAGCAAATTATCACAGTGTATAAATTCTTTGGATAATGCGGCCTGGCTTCTCCGTCTGCCTGCCGTTGTGGCAGTGCAAAGAGAAGTAGGTGCAGCAGTTGGCATGGGCATTGGGACGATGGACTGGAGAACGGGCTGCCAGGCCATGGGCAACTCGTGCTTGCAACGCTCTTCATTAAACATATGTAACGCATTGGCTTACGAGGCTGCGGCACAGCCATCGCTAACGCATGCAACAACAACCTCTCCTGTAGCCGGTCTCTCCTCAATTGTGAGTCGGATGCAACGATTAAAAATTAAATGTTGTCGTATTAACAAGCAAGCTGCACCAGTTGCCAGTTGGCAGTTGCATCTTTGGCCACAGAATTGTTGCAACAAAAAAAAAAACAGGTGGAGAGTAGAGTGGGGGGATGGGTGGGGGTAGACTGACTTTGGGCATTGAAGCATTTGCTGGTCTACAGCAGTTTGCCAATGCTGAAGCTGAAAATCCTTTTGTGCATGTAAAATGCATGTGGGGCTGGCGCGACGGACGCGCCACGTGTGAAATTTATGCACATATGTTGAATGCATTTAAAGCAGGAGCGAAGCGGACAGTGGATGAAGTGTAGAGCCCGACTGAAGACTCTCGGCTAGGTGATCAAAATTCATGGAAAATCAAGCAAAGCGCGCATATATTTCCGAGTCCGGAAAAGAGAATAAAAAATAAAAAAAAAATAAAAAAATATGAAAATGAAATTGTTGGAAAATTGCAATGGCAATGGCCATGGCAATGACGTTGTGTATGTGCAGCAGCACAACGGCAACGAGCATGCCGATATGAAAGAAGAAAGCCATGAAGTCAAGGCATAAGTTGGGGCAGGACGTTCAAGCGAATTAAATGAGTTGGAAATGCATTTGGCTTGCATGGCACTTGGCATGCAGCTAATGGCCAAGAGCGGCACACGCTGCATAGCTGCTGCTGCAGCCGCTGCCGTTGTTGTTGCTGGTGACAATCATTAAGGCTGCTCAACAATAAGGCCAAAATATGCTGGCCCCGTCCTTGTGCTGAGGCTGTTGATGAATCGCTGCCACTCGCCAAGCTTCTCAAGTTTTTTTTTCAAAGGGCCGCCAATGCGACCCTCCAGTTGCATCATTAAAGTTTAAAAAATTATTACATAAACTTAAGAGCTTCAAGTATAAATAAATAAATTGTTAAGTCATTTTATTTGGCAGCCAAATAAATAAATAAACAGCCCATCGAGAAAAGCAAAATGATAATAATGCATAATTGCTCAAACAATCGAATAAATACTTAAGCTGTTGACAGAATCGCATGCTATAGATAAACACATGTGTGCTTATAGTTAGCGAAGTTATGACGCTCTATTTAGCTGGCCTATAGAGTCGTGCTTTTGCCATTTTGTCACTTTTACTGAACAAGCATTTCATTAGCCTCAATTTTTGCTGTCAATTCGCTGGCTGATTGCTTGGATGGCAAATGCTAAAAGTAAAGCTTGCACACTTCCTGAAACGCAACAGTCAATGCTGCCCTTCACAGCCCGTCGTTTGGTTTTTTATAATTTGCTAAGCAAACAGTAAATGAACGGCACTAACAAAATGAATGGCCCACTGTCACACGCGGCGTATGCGCGATGTTTGTTTTTCTCTTTTTATGCCGTGTGCCTTTATGTGCACAATATGTACCTAATTAAGTTTAGCTAATAAGAAACAAAAGATGACCATTTTACACCCTGAACCCATTAAAAATGGGTATAAGGGTATATTGTATTTGTGCGAAAGCCAAATGTATGTAACAGGCAGAAGGAAGTAACTCTGACCCCATAAATTATATATATTCTGATCAGCATAAATAGCTAAGTCGATCTAGCCATGTCCGTCTGTCTGTCCGTCCGTCCGTCCGTCCGTCCGTCCGTCCGTCCGTCCGTCCGTATGTATGAACGCAAGGATCTCAGAACCTATAAGAGCTAGAGAAATTTTAGATGTAGATGCTCCTAGCTCCCCAAGCTCTTCATTTTCATGAAGTTTGGCGTTTTCTTCATGGGTTTCCCTCTAGATTAATCTGGCATTCAAATCTCGTCACCGATTTTTTTGTCGAAATTCATGTCCAAATCTTACCCCAAGATTCGTATATAGACATGGGTCAAAAATTACCACCCCATAACTCGCTCAAATCTCATCCGATTTTCATGAAGCTTGGCGTTTTCTTCATGGTTTTCTTTCTAGATTAATGTGGCATTCAAATCTCGACACCGATATTTTAGTCGAAATTCATGTCCAAATCTTACCCCAAGACTCGTATATAGACATGGGTCAAAAATTACCACCCCATAACTCGGTCAAATCTCATCCGATTTTTACGAAGTTTGGCTTTTTCTTCATGGGTTTCCCTCTAGATTAATGTGGCATTTAAGTCTCGACACCGATTTTGTGGTCGAAATTCATGTCCAAATCTTACCCCAAGATTCGACATGGGTCAAAAATTACCACCCCCATAACTCGGTCAAATCTCATCCGATTTTCACGAAGTTTGGCTTTTTCTTCATGGTTTTCCCTCTAGATTAATGTGGCATTCAAATCTCGACACCGATTTTTTTTTGTCGAAATTCATGTCCAAATCTTACCCCAAGATTCGTACATAGACATGGGTCAAAAATTACCACCCCATAACTCGGTCAAATCTCATCCGATTTTCACGAAGCTTGGCGTTTTCTATATGGGTTTCTTTCTAGATTAATGTGGCATTCAAATCTCGACATCGATTTTTTAGTCGAAATTCATGTCCAAATCTTACCCCAAGATTCGTATATAGACATGGGTCAAAAATTACCACCCCCATAACTCGGTCAAATCTCATCCGATTTTCATGAAGTTTGGCTTTTTGTGCCCTGAACCTATTAAAAATGGGTATAAGGGTATATTGTATTTGTGCGATAGCCAAATATATGTAACAGGCAGAAGGAAGTAACTCTGACCCCATAAATTATATATATTCTGATCAGCATAAATAGCTGAGTCGATCTAGCCATGTCCGTCTGTCTGTCCGTCCGTCCGTCCGTCCGTCCGTATGTATGAACGCAAGGATCTCAGAACCTATATGAGCTAGAGAGCTAGAGCTAGAGCTGAAATTTTAGATGTAGATACTCCTAGCTTCCGCGCAGATCGAGTTTGTTTCCGATAATCGATAACTTACTCCGTTTCCAAGCAATCGATATCGATATCCTGTTTTTTGGGAAATTTTGATAAATAATAAGAACTATAGTCACCAAACTTGACATATAGCTTCTAAAATAGAATATATGTATATATGCATTTGATGTTGGAAGAAGAGGGTTCAGGGTATCCCCTAGTCGGGAGCTCCCGACTAGAACCTCTTACTTGTTTTAAACTATTTTTATTCATATAAGTGATACTTTTAATCGCATTATATGATATATCAGGATTTTATAGCAATTGAAATATATTATTTATGTATTAACATTATTGGTCGTTTACTACAGAGCATCTGTTTGCCAAAACAAATAAATATGAATCTTATAGCAGAGAATAAACGGCATTCAGCTTTTCTATCACGACTTCTGCAATGCTTTTAGCTTCGCGTCCTTTAAAGCTGCTGATAGCTGAGATTGAATCCATTTGTAGCCAGTGACCAGAATGCATCGTGTACAGCGATAAGTACACGATGCTTAAAGCCAAGCCATGAACACGTTCTGGCCACTGGCTGACCACAGGCAGAAGGGGTTAACAATTTGATAAAAGAAGACGGAAAGAAAACAAGCAAAGGAATTTTAAAAATTCAATCATTTCACAAAGAATAAATGCTTTAAAAGTCTACCAAAAATATCAAACAAGCGGTGCAATTCTATTTTTAATACAAACAAATTCACATAAAAAATTTTCATCAAAAATATTAGATTTATCTGTTAGTAAAATTGCCATGAATTTGTCAATTGCACATACTTATTAGGTACGTTTGGCATGTTTGTTTGTTCATGTGCATATGAGGAGCTGTGCATGTAGGTTCGTATATGCATACAAACATGTAGCTATCATTGTATGCATGTACATATATATGCAAGCGTGCATTTGTCTTCATATGTATGTACAAATGTATATTTAAATATATATATGTATGTATGCAAGTATGCATGCATGTATGTATGTATATATGTATGCATGTATTTATGGATGTGTGTATATATATGTATGTTTGTATGTATATATGTAGGCATGTATGCATGTGTGTATGTATGTAACTATGCGTGTCCTTCCTTATAGAAGATGACAATACAAGAATCATGCGTCTAGTATATCACATCTTGAAAAAACAGTTTTCATCATATGTATTTTGCATTAGTGTACTCAAAGACAAAATAAATGAATACTTGGGACCTTCAACTTAAAACTTCAACTGGATTAATAAAATATAAGTTTAAATAGCGCTTTAATTAAACTAAAGCTCAGGGGCTGCCTCCTGACTTTGACGTAGGCACTTGCTGCAAGAACACATGTTGTGGGCTGTGAGGGGATAGCCGAAGGGGCGTGGCTTCTCTGCCGCCATGAATGCGTCCACTGCCACCTGTTGGTTGTGGAACATAGTTTGGATTTGTTGTTTTAGCTGCTGCTCATCGCTGGCAACGGATAGCAACACAGCGTCAGCTGAGTTCGGGTGCACTGCATCTAAGAGTTCGACTGCAGTCGCCTCTGTCGACGGGTGTTGGCTACTCAAATGTTGAGTTAGCTCTATCTCGCCGGCAGAGTAACGCGCTGTTCGACTTGACTTTGATGGATGCTTTTGGCGCTGCAGCTGTCTGTCTGGCGTAACATGCATTTGGGCAAAGCACTTGGCCATTTTGAGCAACTCATGGCTGTCGCCGGCAATGAGTGCCCTGGTGTCGAAATACCAGGGCATATTGGCCATGCTAAATGCCGACTCCAGTAGCATATAGTTGTGCTTTGAATCGTTCACATTTGCTGGCCGATTAATGATTAACACGCTGGCCAAAGTGCCCGGCCGTAGTTTGCCCATAAGACGACACCAGACAACACCATTGCCCAGATCCTGTAGGCTGTGACAGCGCGGACTGTAGACCAATCCCTTGATCCAGTGCATTAGCTGTTTGGCCTCACTGCTTTCGCGGCCAGGCGATTCTGCAATAGGCATATTCACACATTTAACTTAAATCACATACTATTCGAGTGCTAAAACGACTCACTGCTTCGCATGTTTAGGTAATTATTCCAAAATTTTTGTTAATCACTTGAAATTTTAAAGTTGTTGCAACGTGGGTTGCTATGTTCGGAATCACTCTGAGGCTCAACACTAGACGTAATCTTCATTAGCAGTCTCTTCTCTCACCTTTTCCTCCCCTCCCTGCCTACCACCCTTTCTCACTCTCGCTCAATTAACACATTAACTTGGCCAGTGACCAATTGGCCAATAGGCCCAGCTCTGTGCAGCACTTAAGGTGATTACAATGGGTAAATTTATCTTTTCACTGCTGGCTCCCAGCTGAAACTAAATGAATAGCATATTGTGCAAGATTTGGTTTGGGTATTAATGTCACAATTAATGTTGAATCAATACACATAAGTCTGGCTAACATTTAGTCAAAAACATTCCACCAAGCTTATGTATAGCACTTATTATATATAAAACTAATTGTCCAAAGCACAAAAATGAAACAAACAGAGGGCAATAATCGCATAAGAAACTGTGTTAAAAGGAAACTATTTAAGCGCTTCTCAAAAAGGAAACGAGTCCTAGCCAGACAACTGCTTATCGTCTGTAGGGTAACCCACAGAAGACGGAAATATGGCACTACAATCAAGGCCGTATCATTTTCAGAGATATCTGAGGGTAGAGAAAGAACAGCATGCTTTAGAGAAGACAAATTCAAGGCCTGATATAACATCCTACAGAGCAGCCAGCTGTGCAGCTAGGTACATCAGGGCAGAAGAAATAGTTACAGCTAACACGGATGACAAAAAAAAAAACAAAACCCAAGGACTACGTGGCCCAAGGATTGGACGAGAACGCACATCGCTTCAGATAGCAGCTTTTCTAGCGACATTCAAAATAGCCATTATAACATCAGAGTGTCTGGCCAATTATCTCTTTAGACTTCTTACCGACAGATATGAAGAAATAACATCTAGGCTTAAGGTAATTGAAGCCAAAATTTGTTCACTTTCCGTTTACGTGTAAATAATTAGCTCTCGTCTGTCTTTTTAAACCCTGAACCAATTGAAAATGTGTAAAAAGAGTATAATATATTTGCGCAAGTGTATGTAACACGCAGAAGGATGCATCTCTTGGTCAGCATTAATAGGTCCTGTAGGTCCTCCTAGTGCCTGCGCCGATCGATATCGACCTCCTGTTTTTGAAGCAAATTGGGTAAATATTAAGAGCTAGAGTCGCCAAACTTGATATGTTTTATTCTAAAATAGTATAGCTCCCTAGTCGGGAGCTCCCGACTTGTTTACTTTCTTTTTATTAACATTGCATTCTCAAAAGTGTGTCCGATTTACATTCATAAAGGTGACTTGTAACTACTCAATCAATGAATATACTGAATATACTTTACAATCATTTTGAATGAGTCTAAGTTGGTTAGTTCATGAATGTGGATCGTTATTCATTATGCAATTATTTAAGGTGATTAATAGCTGTTTGATAAATTTCTATAATTTCTATTTTAAAAGAAATGATTCTCAGTTCGGCTATTCAATGGGGTCAATAAATTGAAAATTATGTCTTATTCAAATAAGACAACTTCTAATTATATAATATGTATAATATATATATTTTTTTATTATTTCTTGATAATTTCGACCAGTTTTAAGCTTTTTTGTGAATGCAGCTTGGTAACTATTTATTCATTCATTTTGAAGTCATATCTATCAAAGCGCACTGTGAATTCATTCCAGTGCATGTCCATACAAAAACTTATGCCTCCGCACACACTCACAAATACACACATACACTCAAGCACAGCCATATCCACATTCATCTGAATAGACGGGTTAGTGTTCTGTATTCCGTCTCTTAGACTTCTCTGTTGTATATTCTTCGTGCTTCCTGTGGCTACTGTGTCTGTGGTCAAGGCGACCCCAGTCCCATTGGCGTTACCATTCCCAATGACCTCCCACCCCTCCCCCACTGTACACATTGCCAGTTGCTGGCAGCATGCAAATGAATGTTGCCAGGATACGGCACGTGCGCTCATCGGCTTCTTTTTGGGCGGCAGTCGGCAAAGCCGTCACCTTTATGCGGCCATTTCATTTGGCCAGAGGCAGCAGCATCAGCAGCAGCAGAAGCAGCAGAAGCAGCAGCAGGACTTGGACATGGCGCAGTGTTTTGTTGGAGATGGCGCCATCCTGTTGCAGGATGTGGCACGGTTACCAGCGCTTCCTAGCACACAAATAAAATGCAAACAATGCTTGTTTCATTTGCGTAATAAAATATTTATACAGGTATTTAGTTAGCCGGACTGAAAAATACAGCGAACAAGGTGCACGCGAAAAAAAAGAGCACCGAGACCAACGAAAATTAAGCGAAATGCCATGAAAAGAAACGGAGAGAACGAGCATGAAAAACGCCCGGAACAAGAAAAAAAAACAAAAAAAAAATTAAAAAGCCCAAGGAAATGGACAGCTGCCACCGGATGTGGCAGCAACAGAGGCAAACATTCATGCAACGCCTGAACTTTAATATAAAGCTAGCAATCGCTTTGATGCGGCTGCTGTGACCCATTGTTTTTGGCCGAAAACAAAAAACGTCTAGACGTAATTTCTCAGTCGAGAGTCGTCGTACCGTATCACCCCTCTCCGCGATTCTCATTCTTATCCCTGCTCCCTGCTTCCTGCTCGCGATATTATAGATAAATCAGCACGCGCTGCGATTTGCCCAGACTTCACTGGCAGTTGCTGCAGGAGTTAACCCGGAGAATTATGGGCATAACATGGATATTGCTTTCATTTATCATGTGCCTTGGGTCCCGTATTACCCATCCCTAAAGCCCAACTGATCACAGACGCCGAATGGAATACGAATACGTGTCATAAAGTTCCAAATCTGTTTTGTCTCTATTTGAAATTCGTAAATACTTTTTCTAAATAACCATTTTTGAAAAAAACAATTGGGTCTCAAATGTAGACTTTCAATTGAATTGGAAGCCGACCTCAGATCTAATTCGTGTAGCAATTGTAACAATGGAATTGAAATGTTTGTGGCCACTGTGCGTCAAGTAAATCCTAAAGTATTTCGAAAACTCATCTGTACTAAGTGTTTGCTTCTTGTTCGCGTTTTGCTGCTGGCTTGGCTTGGCTGGTTTTCCAAATGCGCCAGTTTCAGGTGGAGCCAAGTGGTTATCATGGCTGCTCAAGTTAGGGTCTTTGAATGCGGCGACGGCGGGCGGCTTTGACTGCAACGTGCTTTATCGCAGAGACGTTAATTAATCTGTGACGCCTTCAACTCCATTGTTGCTGCTGCTGCATCTTCGTGCAGGTCGAACTGGTGGCATGCCCCCGATGCCCCCAGCCGCCTGGCACCGTTGACTGCTGCTTTGGGATGCTGTAAGCATTTTTAACACGTTTTTGCGAAACGGAAATTCTTCTAATATTTTTACATAATTTTATGTGCGGCTACGTCGGCTACAACAACCAACGGCCGGAGACAGAGGCGAAGACGACCACAATGACAATTAACAAAAATAAACAAAATGAGCAAAATGTAGCAAAAAATTTGTGAGTTGCTTTGAGTGAGTTGTATGCTATGGAGTATATGCCACTTAAAGGAAAGAGGAGGGCAAGACAGTCGGCAGGGGGCGTCTGGCAGCATCAGGGGTTGACATTTGTGTGGACGAAGGGGTCGGGGTCTCAGCCTGTCTTGCCATGGCACACAAACAGCGCATTTTAATGTGCGGTCAACAGTCAGGCAACGTCTAAATTTGAAATGTCAGCGTTGTCAACGGCAATTTAGTCGCAACGCAATGACAACAGCGTCAAACAACAACAACAGTAATCAGAATGAATTGTTCGTTTGCGGCATGCCGATGTTCAAATACACTTGCATACATATTATAAACAAATACATTGCCAGCATTTCCATTAAACAATGCTATTTGAAGCTCATATTTGCCTCAGTAGCTTAAATATTTACTTGTTTTGTTTAAAATGTAGATCAAATATAAATAAAATAAATGAATAAGTCTGTCGCAAATCTAGCTTTTGTTCTGCCTTAAATCAGTAACCTTCCACCTTTAGATATATGGCGAAATGAATGAATGAATGAAATCATTTCTTTGAGAGGCTTTTCTTTGAGTTTTCAAAACTAAGCCGGTTTTCTAGCCTTTTTAAAGCTGAAACCATATATAAATGATCTTAACGTCATGTTCGTAAGGACTATGAAAAGCTAACTAAGGATACTTATATAGGTAGTAACATATTTTATTTCTGAAAAATGATTGAAAAGTAATTAATTTTATTATTCAAATTCATAACCATTTTTAATATATAATTTTTCTTTTAATTTTGACTTTAAAAATGTTGCTAATGTGATAAAAGAAATCTGGCCGTCAGAGATTAATACCTTTTTTATAAAGCTACATTAAATAAGAAACAAGGCATAGCTTGTTAAATTCTATGGATAAATCCAGTTCTAGAATTCTAAGCTGAAATGCCTAGAAATGCCCTATATATATATATATATGTATATATACTTCTAGAGTTATTCCGAAGAATTTGTTAATATAAACAAGTTATTTCAATAGCTTATACTTCGAGTATTCTTGCCAATGTCAGATATATGTTATAATGTTGCGATTTTGTCGCAGACTATTTAAAAGTCTGTGCTTTAGTATATCTACAAAGCAAAGCCAAGAAAGCTAGTTCGTCTTGGAGTAGGAGTTGATTTGCGCTATACAACATGTCTCAGATCTGGAATATGAAATTTTTGATTTCGTTAAAGTACTCCATGTTTAAGAGTATTCAAATAAGCTACAAAATATTGCAAGCTGTTGTTGCTGCTGGCTGCGGCTTGTTGCTTTTTTCGCTTTTGGTGTTTGTGTTTGTTGCCTTTGGTTATTTTTTGCGTTGACAACAAATACACTTGTACAGAAATAATGTATAATACATAATAATAATTACGAAAAGCTTTCAAATGCTTTGTTTAAATGTTTTGGTCGCCGCATTTGGGCATTTGTGTTGGGGCCTTGGCACAAGTACGAAATAAGCACAAAAATGCGGCATGCGGCATGCGTCATGCGGCATGATGCATGTGGCATAAAGCATG